ACCACGTTTGTCCAAGCAGTAGAAATGGCGAAAGTAGCAGAAGAGAACAACGCTAGGGAGAACCATGATAGAAGGGATGCAAAGAGAAGATGGGAAGGATCGAACAAATCCGACAAGAAGCCAAAATGGACTCCGACTTTGACAAAAACACGAAGCGAGGGATTCTCTATTCCTCAATGTAACAAATGCAACAAGAGGCATAAGGGAGAGTGCAGAGCAGGGAGCCTGACGTGCTATAGATGTGACAAACCGGGGCACACCGCACGAGAGTGCCTGGAAGGAAGGACTTGTTACGAATGTGGGGCTACGGGACATTTGCGTCCTGACTGTCCAAAACGTCGCAATGGTGCGACACCCCACGGGAAGCCAATGAACAACGAATTTGGGAAGGGAGCGAAAAACAGGAAGGAACTGCCTAAGGGACACGGCCGAGCTTACAACATGACTTTGGAAGAGGCAAAGGAAACACCCGACATCGTATCTGGTATGTTCCCTATCAACAATGTGTATGCACATGTGTTATTTGATTCGGGTGCAAATGGTAGTTTTGTGTCTACCACTTTCTGCCACTATCTGAATAGCAGTGCCCATAGGCTAGACAAAACCTACACTATAGAAACAGCCGACGGTAGTCAGCGTAAGGTAAAAGAAGTATTCGAGGAATGCACAATTGTTATAAACGGGAAGGAATTCCCCGTTAGGCTTATGTCGATGTGTTTATGAGGTTTTGACGTAGTCTTGGGGATGGATTGGCTATCCAACAATCATGCGCAAATAGTGTGTAATAAGAATATGATCAAGATTCAGACTCTRGAAGGAGAAACAATTCATGTTTACGGTGATCGAAAGAAGTGTTGCGTAGGGTTGATCAATGCAATTAAGGCAAATAGGTGTCTACGGAGGGGATGTGAGGCTTACTTGGCATACGCCATCGACGCCAAGCTTGAAAAGAAGACGTTACAAGATGTTCCAGTGGTAAGGGACTACCCAGAAGTATTCCCGGATGAATTGCCAGGAATACCACCGGAACGTCAGGTAGAGTTCCGAATCGATTTGGTACCAGGTGCGGTACCGATCGCAAGGGCACCTTATCGCTTAGCCCCAACAGAGATACAAGAGCTAATGAAGCAATTGCAAGAACTCTTAGATAAAGGATTTATCCGGCCAAGCTCGTCGCCATGGGGAGCACCGATCTTGTTCGTCAAAAAGAAAGACGACACGATGAGGATGTGTATCGATTATCGGGAGTTGAACAAAATCACGATAAAGAACAAATATCCATTGCCAAGGATCGACGATCTTTTCGACCAGTTGCAAGGAGCCATCTGCTTCTCGAAAATCGATTTGAGATCAGGTTACCATTAGTTGAAGGTTCGAGAAGAGAACGTGTCGAAGACCGCTTTTAGGACTCGATACGAACATTACGAATTTGTAGTAATGTCGTTTGGGTTAACAAACGCACCTACGACATTCATGGACTTGATGAATCGAGTTTGTGGACCGTATTTGGATCAATTTGTCATAGTCTTTATAGATGACATTTTGATCTATTCAAAAAGTAAAGAGAAGCATGAACAACACTTAAGGATGATTCTTGAATTACTAGCGAAGGAACAATTGTACGCCAAGTTCTCAAAATGTGAGTTTTGGTTGCATGAGGTACAATTCCTCGGTCACGTAGTCAACGAGGAAGGAATCAAGGTAGACCCAGCTAAGATTGATGCAGTTATGAACTGGGAATCTCCAAGGTCAGTATCGGAGATCCGAAGTTTTCTAGACCTAGCGGGGTATTACCGAAGATTCATCCAAGATTTCTCCAAGATAGAAACCCCTTTGACAACACTAACAAAGAAGTCGGTTAGGTTTGATTGGGGAACAAAACAAGGAGAGACTAAGCACTGCACCGGTTTTAGCACTACCAGAAGAAGTAGAAGATTTTGTCGTTTACAGCGATGCATCAAAGATGGGTTTAGGTTGTGTACTAATGCAGCGAGGCAAGGTCATTGCATATGCGTCTCGTCAGTTGAAAGAACACGAGAGGAAATACCCAACTCACGACATGGAATTAGCAGCCGTTGTCTTCGCGCTAAAAATCTGGAGACACTATTTGTACGGTACGAAGTGCATGATCTATACTGATCATAAGAGCCTTAAGTACTTGTTTGATCAAAAGGAGCTAAACATGAGACAAAGAAGATGGATGGAACTACTTAAGGATTATGATTGTGAGATTCACTATCATCCAGATAAGGCAAATGTAGTTGCCGATGCACTTAGTAGGAAGGAGAGAAACGGACCAATCAGAATTCGAGCCATGTGGATGAGTGTTAAAGTGGAACTTCTAGACCGAATACGGGATGTCCAGAAGGAAGCTTTACTCGAGACAAACATCAAGAAGGAGAGGATGATTGGGCAAATCAAGACTTTGACAGCTGGACTAGATGAAATATATAGACAGGCGAATCGGATTTGGATTCCTAGTTTAGGAGATGTAAGGAAGGTAGTAATGGATGAAGCACATAAGTCTAAATACACTATGCATCCAGGTAGTAATAAGATGTACAAGAACATAAAAGAAAGCTACTGGTGGCCTGGTATGAAGAGGGCGGTAGCTAACTATGTGGGGAAATGTTTGACGTGCTTGAAAGTGAAGACTGAGCATCAAAGACCATCTGGAATGTTGCAACAAATGGAGATCCCAGTATGGAAGTGGGATATGATCACAATGGATTTGTCACCAAACTTCCAAGGACGGTAAAGGGACACGACGCCATATGGGTAATTGTGGACCGACTAACGAAATCGGCTCATTTCCTGCCGATTAGCGACAAGTATACATTGGAAAGATTGGCCCAACTTTATGTCAACGAGATTGTGTCAAGACATGGAGTGCCGATATTCATTGTCTCTGATAGAGATGCTAGGTTTACTTCGAGGTTTTGGTCAAGTTTTCAACAAGAAATGGGAAGGCGGTTGAACATGAGTACTGCATATCATCCTCAAACTGATGGCCAGAGTGAGAGGACGATACAAACATTAGAAGATATGTTGAGAGCCTGTGTAATTGACTTTGGAGGTAGTTGGGACAACCACCTCCCATTGATAGAATTTGCTTATAACAACAGTTACCATTCGAGCATCAAGGCGGCACCTTTTGAAGCGTTATATGGCCATAAGTGTAGAACTCCAATTTGCTGGGCAGACATTGGAGAAAGGCAACTAGCTGGACCCGAGTTAGTCCAACAGACATCTGACAAAATAGTACAAATCAGGGAGAGGTTAAAGGTTGCGCAAGATAGACAAAAGAGTTATGCGGATAGAAGACGTCGACCTTTGGAATTCCAAGTAGGTGATAAGGTCTTGCTGAGAATATCGCCATGGAAAGGGGTCGTAAGATTTGGGAAGAAAGGTAAGCTAAGTCCAAGGTATATCGGACCGTTTGAAATAACTGCAAGAGTAAGAGCAATTGCTTATCGGTTGAAGCTACCGGAAGAGTTAGGCAGTATTCACAATACCTTTCATGTATCAAACTTGAGGAAGTGTTTAGCTGACGAATCAATTGTTCTGGATCTGGAAGACATCGAGGTTAACGACAAACTCGCCTATGTAGAAGAGCCAATTGACATATTGGATAGGAAAACGAAAAGACTAAGAAACAAAAGTATACCATTGTTATTAGTTAAGTGGAAATTCCACAAGGGAGCAGAAGTGACGTGGGAACCAGAAGAAGAGATGAAGGCTAGATATCCTCAGTTGTTTTAACGAGTTTTAATTCCGAGGACGGAATTTCATAAAGGAGGGGAGAGTAGTAAAACCCAAAATTTATATGTTAAATAAAAGTTAGAAATTTGAAATAAGTCAAATTTGCTTACGGCTAAGGGCTGAAGGCTCCAATTAGAGGGGGGGAGCCTGCTGTCA